TGGTTGGAGCACTTAATCCATTTACATTTAAGGTAGTTATTGATATGTATATTCCTATTACCATTTTCTTAATCGTTTTTGGTTTGTTATTGTAGGTCTTTTCCTTCTCTTGTGTTTCCTGCCTAGAGAAGTTCCTTTAGCATTTGTTGTGAAGCTGGTTTGGTGGTGCTGAATTCTCTTAGCTTTTGCTTGTCTGTAAAGGTTTTAGTTTCTCCATTTAATCTGAATGAGATGGTTGCTGGGTAGAGTAATCTTGGTTGTAGGTTTTTCCCTTTCATCACTTTAAATATGTCCTGCCACTCCATTCTGGCTTGCAGAGTTTCTGCTGAAAGATTAGCTGTTAACCTTATGGGGATTCCCTTGTATATTATTTGTTGTTTTTCTCTTGATGCTTTTAATATTTTTTCTTTGTATTTAATTTTTGATAGTTTGATTAATATGTGTCTTGGTGTGTTTCTCCTTGGATTTATCCTGTATGGTACAGTCTGCAGTTCCTGGATTTGATTGACTATTTCCTTTCCCATATTAGGGAAGTTTTCAACTATAATCTCTTCACATATTTTCTCAGTCCCTTTCTTTTTCTCTTCCTCTTCTGGGACCCCTATAATTCGAATGTTGGTGTGTTTAATGTTATCCCAGAGGTCTCTGAGACTGTCCTCAATTTTTCATTCTTTTTTCTTTATTCTGCTCTGCAGTAGTTATTTCCACTATTTTATCATCCAGGTCACTTATCTGTTCTTCTGCCTCAGTTAGTCTGCTATTGATTCCTTCTAGAGAATTTTTAGTTTCATTTATTGTGTTGGTCATCATTGTTTTTTTGCTCTTTAGTTCATCTAGGTCCTTGTTAAATGTTTCTTGTGTTTTCTCCATTCTATTTCCAAGATTTTGGATAATCTTTACTATCATTACTCTGAATTCTTTTTCAGGTAGACTGCCTATTTCCTCTTCATTTGTTTGGTCTGGTGGGTTTTTACCTTGCTCCTTCCGCTGTGTGTTTCTCTGTCTTCTCATTTTGCTTAACTTTCTGTGCTTGGCGTCTCCATTTCACAGCCTGCAGGTTCATAATTCCCACTGTTTTTGGTGTCTGTCCCCCGTGGCTAAGGTTGGTTCAGTGGGTTGTGTAGGCTTCCTGGTGGAGGGGACTAGTGCCTGTGTTCTGTTGGTTGAGACTGGATCTTGTCTTTCTGGTGGGCAGGTCCATGTCTGGTGGTGTGTTTTGGGGTGTCTGTGACCTTGTTATGATCTTAGGCAGCATCTCTGCTAATGGGTGGGGTTGTGTTCCTCTCTTCCTAGTTGTTTGGCATAGGGTGTCCACACTATATCTTGCTCATTGTTGAGTGGAGCTGGGTCTTAGCATTGAGATGGAGATCTCTGGGAGAGCTTTTACCGTTTGATATTACATGGAGCCGGGAGGTCTCTGGTGGACCAATGTCCTGAACTTGGCTCTCCCACCTCCGAGGCAGAGGCCTGACACCTGGCCGGAGCACCAATACCTTGTCAGCCACACAGCTCAGAAGAAAAGGGAGAAAAAACGAAGGAAAGAGAGAAAAAAAGAAAATAAATTTATTTTAAAAAATTAAAAATAATTATTGAAATAAAAAAATTAAAAAGCAATAAAAAAAGAAAAAAAAAGAAAGAAGAGAGCAACCGAACCAAAGAACAAATCCATCAATGATATTAAGCTCTAAAAACTATACTAAAAAAAAAGAAAAATGCACCAACAGAACCCTAGGACAAGTGGAAAAAGCAAAGCTATACAGACAAAATCACACAAAGAAGCATACACCTACAGACTCAAAAAAAGAGACAAAGGAAAAAAATATATATATCGTTGCTCCGAAAGGCCACCGCCTCAATTTGGGATGATTCGTTGTCTATTTAGGTATTCCACAGATGCAGGGTACATCAAGTTGATTGTGAAGATTTAATCCGCTGCTCCTGAGGCTGCAGGGAGAGATTTCCCTTTCTCTTCTTTGTTTGCACAGCTCCTGGGGTTCAGCTTTGGAGTTGGCCCTGACTCTGCGTGTAGGTCGCCCGAGGGCATGTTTTTCCCGCCCAGACAGGAAGGGGTTAAAGGAGCAGCTGATTCGGGGGCTCTGGGTCACTCAGGCCAGGGGGAGGGAGGGCTACGGATGCGGATGCGGGGCGAGCCTGTGGCAGCAGAGGCCAGCATGATGTTGCAACAGCCTGAGGCATGCTGTGTGTTTTCCCTGGGAAGTTGTTCCTGGATCACGAGACCCTGGCAGTGGTGCACTGCACAGGCTCCCGGCAGGGCAGGTGTGGATAGGGACCTGTGCTTGCACACAGGCTTCTTGGTGGCGGCAACAGCAGCTTTAGCATTTCATGCCCTTCTCTGGGGTCTGTGCTGATAGCTGTAGCTCGCACCCATCTCTGGAGCTTGTTTAGGCGGTGCTCTGAATCCCCTCTTCTCGCGCACCCTGAAACAATGGTCTCTTGCCTCTTCGGCAGTTCCAGACTTTTTCCCAGACTCCCTCCTGGCTAGCTGTGGCTCACTAGCCCCCTTCAGGCTGTGTTCATGCAGCCAACCCCAGTCCTCTCTCTGGGGTCTGACCTCCGGAGCCCGAGCCTCAGCTCCCAGCCCCTCCCGCCCTGGTGGGTGAGCAGACAAGCCTCTCGGGCCGGTGAGTGCTGGTCAGCACCGATCCTCTGTGCGGGAAGCTCTCCGCTTTGCCCTCTGCACCCCTGTTGCTGTGCTCTCCTCCACGGCTCTGAAGCTTCCCCTCTCCGCCACCCGCAGTCGCCGCCCGTGAAGGGGCTTCCTAGTGTGTGGCAACCTTTCCTCCTGCACAGCTCCCTCCCACTGGTGCAGGTCCCGTTCCTATTCTTTTGTCTCTGTTTTTTCTTTTGCGCTACCCGGGTACGTGGGGAGTTTCTTGCCTTTGGGGAGGTCTGAGGTCTTCTGCCAGCGTTGAGTAGGTGTTCTGTAGGAGTTGTTCCACATGTAGATGTATTTCTGATGTGTTTGTGGGGAGGAAGGTGATCTCCACGTCTTACTCCTCCACCATCTTGAAGGTCTCCCCCCTTCCCAAATATTTTTAAACATTTTTTGACCTGATACATGGATGGGCCAGGAGGTGTTTTTTTTTTTTAAAAAGAAAGGCAAAGTTTCAGAGTAGGGAAGGGGTAAAACTAAAATATTTGAAAAACACAAATGAAATTATTGTGACTTTTCCCTGTAGTGACATATGCTTTATCATTTTAGGATTATTATAGCATGTGTTGGGGAAAAACAAATTGGAACAATTATGTTCAAATGGTTCCAGCGTCTGTTGGTTATTTCAGCCTTTACCTCTGAAAACTGTTAGCAAGAAAAATTAGTCTTGTGGTATAATTTACATGAAATAGTCCATCACACACACCTGGGAATCACCACTTAGAACATAGATTAGATTATTTCCCTTAATATATGATGTATCTCTCTCATCATTGCCTCTAGGACCCTAATAGAGAGAAATCTAAATGGTATCAACATGGTAAAGGAAAACCTGTTAATAGGTAGATACAGTTCTGTTTAGTGATTAGATTTGAGTTCATTGGAAGAGCCACAATATGTTGTGTTGTCAAAATTGTATTACAAGGCTGATCAACATCCATATGGAGTTTTGTGATTCTGTAATTATGTAAGTAATGCCGACTGCTCTTGAGTAGCACAAGTACACAAGAAGATTGAGGAAAAGATGATGGGAGAAGATGCATTGTTCAATTTATTTCTCAATTAAAGCTGACACTTTGGGTAGAGAAATCTGTAGCTCATTGGCTTTTTTTATGGTTCATTTTGCAGCTGTGTTTATTGTTTTAATAAGTAAATATATTATCTCATTAAGGCAGCATTTTCATAACTATAACAACACAAGTTTCTCATATCCACTCACAACACGTATGTCCCAAATGGAACCCCAAGAAAAAGATTTATTAAATCCAATAGAGTTGAAAGATAAGCCTTGTGGGGTGGAGTCTGTAGGTGTCATTGAGGTCCCAGCAAAAAGCAAAGTGTCTTTTATGCAGGAGCTAAAATTGTTGCAAAGATTTTTTTGTTTTGTTTTGTTTTCCTGAGTCCTTCTAATAATAAAGCTATTTAGAAATGTGTGGTGGTTTCCCAGCAACAAATGTGTATGACAAACTACCTTTCAGACTGTAGATGAATAATATGTTTATTACATCCCATTTTGACACTCGGTACAACTCATAGTGCCATAGCAGCTGAGGAGGAGAGATCTGAGCCAACCTCTTGTACTGTAATCAAAGTCTTAAAAGCTCCAGCCTCTGGATTAGAGAAACGTGGCCCTGATTTCTCAAGCAAACAGCTGCCCTGGTTAAGTTCTAACAACAGCTCCATCAGTATGGGTGCTGGTGAACACAGATTGGGTCAGTCAATCAATTAGCATGTATTTATTGAACACCTACTATTTCCCCTAGCTTGTTAGCTGTATGACGTTGGTGAAGAGTCCAAAATGAAGAGGATATTGATTCTAAGCAAAATAGGAAGGAAAGAAGTGTCACTGTACACATATAACAGGCTGCCAATAGAAAATTGGAATCTGTTCTGTTTAAAAGTATTTCAACGAAAGCAAGAAAGACTTAGTTTAGTTAAATGGTAGGATTTTGGGTGCTAGATTTTAAAGCTGCTTTGCTTGCAAGTGAGGAGCTGTGTGTGAGGTAAGAATGCACAAAAGGTTTCAGTGTACGTACTGGCTCATTTTCCATGTGACTTCTCTTTGTGACAACTGCCATTTATTGAACTCTTACTAAATTCATCGTCTTACTTTGAACCTGTGTGATGAGACACGTTAGCCTCATTGTTTAAAGAAGGAGGAAGAATTAAGCCATTTACTTGAGGATACTTAGCAAGTAAACGAATAATTGGAAATTGCACCCAGATCTGACTCCAAAACTTATGTCAGATTTAGATATTTGGATAATCTAATTGCTGGATTTCAATGGTTTGAACACGGCTTTCCGCTCATTTGCGTCTGTTCCAGGAACGTCTGTTCTGCTCCGTCTGTGCACGGCCTGTTTTCACACATCCCTATTGTCTCTCCGTGTGTGAAGAAGAGCAGCCAGTTACTGCAGTGTGTGGCCATTTACCGCTAATGACGCCGGTGGCTCTTTGAATGGAAGGTAGGCGCTGCCATTGATTCATGAGACTCTATAAAGTTGCGGTTCCTCGTGGATCAGGTCCCAGCTGCCGTGTGACGAGGCAATAGCACAACTCGGGACTTGCTTGCCTCTGCTGCGGCAAGTCCTTCCTTTAGTCAGGGGTGAGGCAAGGTGGCAGATCCCATTTGGAATCATCACAGGGGCTGTGAGGTGGCTCCTCACCCCCTCTCTGCAGCAATGCTGGAGTGAAACATGGGGGAGCATGTTTTATTCTACCAGGAACCAGGATTCCATTTAGGGAGGGAAAGACATACATGGAAAATCCAGTGTTTGTTGCCAAGTGTGGGACCCAGGGTCTTCAGGAATAAGGTCCAAGTGCCTCTGCTTTGACGTAGAGAGGACTTGGAGGCTCTAGGCAGGAACAAAAGAAGAAATAGGACAGATTAGAGGGGACAATGGATTTTGGATGGGGTCCTGTGTGATGAGATTGCCAAAAAGTTCTTTTTTTTAATCCAAGAATGGGTGAAGCTAGAAAAGAAGAAAGATTGAAAAATGGAAAGTGCATTCAAATTAGAGATGGAAGGTCCATATTTACAAAGCAACCATTCTTTCCCACCTCCCCAGCCTCAAGCTTTCTTACTGGTAGAAGCTAAGTTTTGTTTGGGTGTTTACCATCTCTTGGACTCTAGTGACATGAACTCCAAAAAGTTCTTTAGAGAGGAAAAATAGACCATTTTGTTCACTCTGTGATGTGGGATGTGATATTCACTCTTATGAAGTCATGCATATTTCATGAGAGTTGGGGATATGGGTGGAAGGTGGATGAGAAATCAAGGAAGGGACTGAATTTTAAGTCTGGGTCAGTGTGATGAGCAACACGAACCCTGAATGAGGAATCTGGAGCCCAAGAGGCAGAGGAGGCCACAGGAGCAGAAGTACCTAAGGTATTCTCAGAAATATCAAGGAGGGCTTTAGACTCCTGAAAGTCTCAATTTTTGGACTCCTGCAAGTGCCAGTTGATGTGCAGAGAGAATATCCTCTTACTCCAAGATCCTCAGAAGTACGGCCTGTATGAGCCCTGAGCTCAGAGCTCAGCTTGTTGGTGAGTTTGCCTAGTCCATCACTGCCTGGATCTCTGCTCAGTGAGCGACTGGGTTAGTGATAGTGGCGGAAGGCAGGACTGGTTGGAGGACAGTGAAGGGCTGCATAGGTTCCTTTGAAGATACCCTGGTGGTATGGGTAGGGCAATACCACCCTTTGTAGGCAGTGTCTTGGTCGATTCAGGCTGCTCTGACAAGGTATCATTGACTGGGGTGGCTTATAAATAGCAGAATTTTATTTCTCACAGTCTTGGAGGCTGAAAGTCCAAGATCAGAGTGCCAGCATTGTCGAGCTCTGGTGAGAGCCCTTTTCCACGTGGCAGACTGCCGATGTCTTGTTCTATCCTCACATATCAGAGATCAGAGGAAGCAAGCTAACTTGTGACTATTATAAGGGCACTAATTCCATTCATGAGGGCTGTACCCTCATGACTTAATCTAATCCTAATTACCTCCCCAAGACCCAAACTCCTAATACCATCACATTGGGGAGTAGGGTTTCAATACATGAATTTTGGGGGACACAAATATTCAGTCCATAACACGCACTAATTGGCAAGATAAATGGGGAAACAGTCTCAGGAATTTGCATTCCTAGCTTAGGTCACAGGCTTAAGTCACATAGATTGCAACAGAGAATGGATTTCACGCTGTTGTTATTTCTCTGCAATGGTTGCATTTCTTAAAAATGTTTGTGTCTGAGACATCTGCTGGCATAAAACGACCCACCTCAACTAAGAACAGGAGGTCCAGACCCAGTTTCCCTGCTATATCCCACCTCTACTTATCCATCATAGCACTTGTCAGAATCTAGAAAGCTGTGGTGTTTCTATAGTTATTTGGTAATGTCTATTTTTCCTGTTAGATTTCCATATTCCATAAAGGCAATGCTGGGTCTGCATTTATCTCTATTATATTCCAAATGCTGTTCTTGTCACTTAATGACTATGTGCTGGATGACTGAAATGAAGGGAACCCCATAATCTGAATGAGCGGCTGATGGAAATGACATGAATTATTTCTAAGGATAGCAGGGTCATGCTTTACAGTTTACAGTGTGCTTGACTACACTTCATCATCTCATGCTCCCTCTTGACTTTGGCAGGAAAGATTGGAATGATGACTTGTTGGTTCAGAAAGGGAATATCATTACAGGTTTAACCTGCAAATCAAATGATATGTAAACCTGCCTGAACTAATTAATTGAGATGTGAGGAGTGTCATTAGTTAAGGAGTGGGATTAAGATCTGAGGGCTGGAGATAATGAAGAAACAGTGTTTTACTAAGCGTAAGGTACGATGCCAAGACCCACAAACATGAAGATTTGCAAGAATAATAAAATTAGCTCATTTTGGAAATCTGTCCACTTGAATCAGGTAACAGCCAGTCTACTGAGCCCTAGACCTGTGAATCAGTGAACCAGTGCCAGTGAAGAGACCAAAACAAAAGGAACTTAAAAGCTACATACAGGGCCATAAGCTGCAGTAGTCCCACCCTCCTTTTTTTACTGTTCAAAGGACTGTCGGGACCTCCTACAAATTTTCCCACTTATTGTCTTAGATCAGTGAAAGGGACATACTGTCTGCTTCCTGTGGTTGCTGGGAGAATCTCTTCTCATTTAATCAATTCTCTCTGCATAATTGTATCAATACCCATTGTGTCTTCTACCATCGCTATGCAGATACTCCAAGATACCAGTATCTTTCTGGAAAGTACAATGAGATCATTATGTTGCACATTTTCATTTACTCTGAAGTTTTGTGACCAGCAGGTATGAGTATTAAAAACAAAGAAATAAGGTGGCCTCCAGGCATGCTGTAATACTTCTCACTTTTTCCAAGCCTTGGGTTGTCAAGTGCTGGGAGTCTGTGAATTCAACCTAGTTTTTATTTCTGCAAGTCACACAATTGAATTTTGAGTGTGATTTTTAGTGAAATAGGATTCTTTTAGGGATGTATAGAGATTAAAGATCTTTTCTTTTTCCATCAATCGAGCTAAGGGTTTAAAGCCTTGAGCTGGTCACTTGTTTCTACATGCTCTCCTATCTCCTATCCCATATGCATCAAGAGCACCCTATCCCATATGCATCCCATATGCATCAAGAGCAGACACTTGGTTCCAAAAGTGTGTTTAGATACTTTATCACAATAAACCACAGATGACAATTTAATTAATCATGATGCACAGCATGCCAAGAAGTACTGTGTTCTCTTTTCCTGTTGACAAGGAGCTCAGCATATTTTTCAAGGCCAAGGATACAATGAAACCAATCCATGAATCTCATTTGGTGGTTTTATGGCCTGGGACTATGTTTGATACCAATATAGTATCAGACTCAGGGTCCAGTTAGGAACAGAGAAATCATATTAAATATGGCAACAGAAAGAATTTACTATATTGAACTGGATAAAAAGGTGTTAGAGCATGGAAAAATTAAAATAGAACACTAAGGTACAACAGAGTTATACATCTAAGGCTTGAAGCATGAAGAAAAGGGGTTGGAATTTCCAGAATCTGGAAACTTAGAGAAGATGCCCTGGAGAAATGAGACTCAAAGCTCTGAAAAGGGGGTACCATGCAGCTGCAGCTAATAGCACAGGAGCTTAGAGAAGGGGTATTGGAGAGCTAGACTCCAAACTCTGAAGAGGAGGCGATGCTTGGCTACTCTTGGTACCCCAGGAGATCAGAGGTTGAACACCACAGAGTTTGGGTCCAGATCCCTGGGAATGGCCAACTCCCAGTAAGTGTTAGTCCCTCTGAAGGAATACAGTGATGCTGGTTCCTAGAGGATCAAAATTATTGGAGACTGGGGCTAACTGCAACCCATTGCTGGAGAGAAATTGGAGTGATGCTGGCAGGAAGAGCAGGAAAACAGGAAGGGACCAGCCTTTTCCTTTTCTTCCTGCCTTCCAGTTTCAATCTAGCACCCCATATTGGTGGAACTTAACAGGAAGCCATCTGAAAAGATGAGAAATAGAGTTTTCATGATTCCAACCACATCATTGCAAAGAAGAGTGTAGATGGGTGGATTTAGATATGAGTGATATAGCTTAAAATAAACTTAATGTAGCTGTTAAGTAGTATTTGCATATAAAATTAAAAAGTATTCAGTTCAAGCTCAGGAGAAGGCATAAAGAATGAGTAAGGTTGGGGTGTAGGAAAGAGAAAGAATGACCATAAAATATTAATATACTATATTTATCTGTAAGATACAGGCAAATGTTATATGTCAGAAAATGGTTAATACTCTATGAATCTAATTAAGGAAAATCTGTGTGTGTGTATGTCTGTGTGTCTAGGCTTTTACGTCTTTCAATAATTAGGACTTGAGTTTAAATAGAGAATTCATACTGTGGTTACCTTAAATGACTTATATCCCTGATTTTTTGAAAAATCACTTTTATTGAGTTAAGTGAACTCTACTGTAATACAGCAAATCATCATAAAAAGAAGATATCAAATCCAACAGACATAAAGCATAAGACATAAACTATGAGTTAATGAGAGCTTATTGAGAAATCCTTATGACAGCTTTTCCTTTTTTAGAAGGATTCATTATTTATAATAAAATGGTGTATTAGAACCCAAATGTAATAAGCCTTTCAATTTGTCTTTGCAAGAATAAGAGAGGAGAGGTATTTGAAATTTCTAACATGAAGTGTTTTTCCGTTTAGAGTGTAGGAGCATCAAAAAAATCCTGATAAAGGTAAAAGTTTGCATAGTCAGTGGTTCCATTCTCTCTGTACAGAAAATGGAAGGAAACAGAGAAGCCTTGCTTGAGTTAAGTGTTGTATATCATCAGTGTCTCTGAAATCAAGTGAAAGGTGGTAGAGGGTCATTTTGGACATGATTTAAGGAAGATGAATGGAAGCAAGGAATGAGGAAAGCTAGGC